CTGCAATCCTAACTTTGTTTTGACCTAAAGAGGGCTTATATGCTGAGAAAAGGTGAGAAGACCCAGACACATGATCTGAAGCACCATAATCAATAATCCATGACAAAGACTTACGGGACAAAAAACATTAGGAGAAGACACTAAGTTACCTGAGCGGGCAAACGACGAGCAAGATGCACTGGAAGCAATAGAAGACCGGCGGGTCAGCAAATGACGCAGAACATCCTCAAGCTCAAGAGAAGTCATGCTAGATAAACTATCAGAAGTCGGACCAACTGAAGCGGAAGTAGAACCAAGGGTGTCAACAGCACTAGACTGATGGCCCGTGGATTAGAACCACGTCCTCTAGATTGGCCTGATCAACCGCCTCTAGTACCAGACCGATCACCTCGACTCCCTGATTGAGCCCCATGAAGCTTTCAACATGTTTCACGAGTATACCGTGGCTTACGGCAGTAATCACAGAACACAGTATCCTTCCCTGAATGACGGGAAAGAGGTAGTGACAAACTAGCCCCATCTTGAGGAGTAGAAAGTAATGCTGAACGGTCTCCAATAGCCGATGGTAACATAGCAGAATGATGACTCTCTTCATTCTATACATATGCAAATGCCTCTTGAAGAGATGGAAGAACATCCATGCCAAGGACACGACTTCGGACCGAATCAAACTCCATATTGAGGCCTTCCAGAAACTTGAAAACCCTCTCTCGTGCAAGAAACTTCTAGTAACCAATTAAGTCAACTATACAGACAAGCTTGTAATCCAAGAGATGATCTAGCCGTTTCCAACCATTAGTCAGAAATGTGTAATACTGGAGAACTGTCTGCTCCCCCTGTACTAAGTGCTCAATAGACCGGCGCAGCTCAAAAGATAAAAAATTTCCTTTTCGAGAATATGTAGCAACAACTGCTTTCTAAATATCCTGGACAGTGTCCATGGATAAGTAGCCTTCACCAATCTCAGGAACTATGGAATGAATGAGCCACCCCATGATTAAAGAGTTGATAATGTCCCATTGATCATATAGCCAGGATCCGTAATACTTGGTGCTTGAACTCTCCCATTAACATATCTCATATTCCCCATACTCTTTAGAAAAAGTGTCAGACACTGAGACCATGAAATGTAATTCTGACCATTAAATAGAGCGATGGTGTTTTGAGGGTAGGGTTCAGGTTCTCAGATGTAGTAGTCATAATTGGACTATAGCTCTCCCTTTTAGATGGGTGAGAAGTAGTGGTGGATTCACTAGTTAGGTCAGCCATAAGAACTCTACAATTTCAACCCAAAAAAACCTTACACAAATCACAAGAATAGAAAAAGGAAAGGAATGGGCTGAAACAAGCAAAATCAAATATAGACCACTATGGGATCATAACAATCATATTAATGGGTCATCTATAGACCTAAAAAATAAATCAAATATGGGAAAACGAACCTACAATCAAAACCAGTGTTGAACTGTGATCAAGAAAGTAGAGAGAAAGAAACTTGGGACAACAAGGGATGGGCAGCCCTCAAACACTTATCCACAAGAACCGAAATACACAAAAAGAGGCTAGGACAACCCTCATAAGGGTCAATCAGGCCAGAGGGGCCTTCGGCTAAAGCCGAAACAGCTCTGCGAGATCTTGGCTAGTTCCAACAGAGACTCAGGGACCAGCGATGGAGGATGGGTGGTGATAGGTGATGGCTGGTTGGTGGCAGCGGTTGTGTGGGCGACGGTTTTTAGGGTTTTGGCTTTGATACCATGTAATTTAGGATAATACAAAGCTTAGGTGATGATTATGATATCATTACCTTTTATATTAATTAATCAACTGTTACAAAAAGAAGCCCCAAGGCATTGATTAAGGAATCATCTTCTATATTGATTAATTGATTGATTGACTATATTGATTAATTGATTGATTGACTGATTAAAGAATCACAATCAATCAATCAATCAACAAATCAAAATCTAATCTAAATAAGGAAATAAGGAAATATTCTAACAATTTATTCATAAAAGCATTATAAATAGTTTCTAGTAGTTATTCTAATCAACTATTTCTTTTTCCTGGCAGATTTTATCCAGTGATGAGAAACAACTCTACAGCTTTTCACCCTACATGCTGTCCTAGGGTTTAGCCTATTAAGGGGTTATTTAGAATTATCTAAATAAGTGCACTTTTTGACTCTTTACGAAAGCTATGCAAAAGAATAGAGAGGTGATGTGACCCAAAAAAAATAAAAACATAAATAAGTGCACTTTTTTAGTTCATGCAAGCAAACTCTAAGTAACCAACTGTCTCAAAAGCTTCAACCGTTAGGAATTGGGCCCAACAATGTATATCAAGCAATCTAGCATCCTCCCCCACATGTAATCGTGTGTTGCGCGTGGAGATGGAAATATCCACACATCAAGAGAAGAAAGATGCAAATGGGAACCGAATACAAAAGGAAAGACTTGAACACAAGACCTCAAACCAGAGATCTAATACCATGTTAAGTTACCAACTGTCCCAGAACCTTAAGCTATAATGAAATGGGCCCAATAATAATAATAATAATAATATATTATATATATAGCCTATGAAGCATGAACACGTCTCTGGAGGCAATGTACATGTGTTGGACACGTGTCGGACATGCAGTGGACACGTGTCAAACACTCTACAAGACGTGTCCCCTTTTTGTTTTGAATTTTACCATCCGGACATGCTTTGGATCACAAGGACACATTTTGGACACTCTGTAATACGTTTGGGACACTTGCAGGGCCAAAATGTAATTTTTAAAACTTGTAAATGGGGTAAAAAATGTAAAAAGATAAAACTTGAGAAACAGACAGCTAGATTGAAACCCTAACTTGTTGGAGAAGAGAGAGAAAGAGAGGGTGAAGAAGCTGTTTGTAAGTGTGGTAGGTAGAGTTGAGTGTGTTAGGTAAGAGTTGAGTGTGGTAGGTAGATGTAAGTGTGTTAGGTGAGAGTTGAGTGTGGTAGGTGAATATGTTTTTCTCTTCTATATATAGGAGAGTCATTGTATACAAACATATATCAATCAATAATACACAAAATCTTACACTGTTGAAAGAGGTGAAGGCCCTAAACTTGTTTAAAGAGGTGGATCGAAGGTGATGAAAATCATGGAAAGAAAAAAAAAAAGAACAAATCTAGAATTTCACATAAAGAACATTTAGGGCATCAAGAATTAAAGATTTGGAATAATTTTAAGTCTTCATGTCATTATAGCAGGTTTAGTAATTATGAATATAATGGTAATTTCAATAATTGTTGGACATGGATTATAGGGGTTGCCCATGGATTTTATTTTTAGGTTAAGTTATTAAATTGGTTATTATATATAGGTTTTATTATGTCTAAAATAATCTTGGTGGCCAAAAGATCAAGTTTTCTATTTTGATATTGATGTAGAATTAAAAGTCATTAAAATTTTCTAATATGATTGAAGTAGAATTGAAAGTCATTAAAGTTTCCTATTATGATTGAAGTAGAATTAGAAGTCATAGTTGGTCTAGAAAATTAGTAGTTGCAAATTATATTTTTAATTTCTAAATTTGAGTTATAGTCGTTATAGAATTAGGAGAGTCTTTAGCCTATAAGTATATGTGTTATCTCAATGATTAAGTAGAATAGTCAATATTATAAAAATTTGAGATTGTATTTGTGTGATTGGTCTATCCCTTGTGAGGGTGAAGCATCTGTCTCTCTCTCTCTCCCTCTCTTCTTTTTCTTCTTCTTCTTCTTCTTCTACCCTGCAAGGTTATTGTACACGTCACTGTTTATAGTGCTTAGAACAGCCACCCAACAACCCCAAAACACATGTTTTTATTCCTAAAACCCTACCCTTTTACAAACCCTTAAACTCATATATTTTTAATAATTTTGTGGCTACAAAACTCCACTAAATCCAGGCCCATAAGTCTATTGTTGCTACTGCTAGTATACTTATCCCAAGCTCACTACTTGTGGGAAAGTAATCCTTACTTGTCCTACATCAGAAGACCTTCTGAGGTATATTCTTCTTCTTTTCTTTGATTCCTTTCTTTGGTTCTTCATTCTTCCTTTGTCTTCTTCGTTGTTCATTTTTCTTTTCTCTTTTCTGTGTTTGTTGTTTGTTATTCTTCTCTTTTTTCTTGTTTCTCTGTTTTCGTTTTGCTTTCTTTTTTTTTTTCTTTTTTTCTTTTTTTTCTTTTTTCTGAGTAGCCCGCTTTTTCTTTTATCTGTTTTTTTTGGTATCCTTGTTTGTTGAACCTGAACAGTTTGTTGGGTATCCTTGTGGTTTTCATGGATTTTGTAACCGACGATGGTTGGTACATTGGAATGACATATGTTACGTACTGATGAAATGTAATTGATTGCTATGTCATTTGTGAATGATATTTGATGTTAAAGTGATGAAATGTTTGTTTTTTTAATTTTTGTTAGTGTTATTCTGCATTTTTTAATTACCTTCCAATGATTTTTTATTTTTATTTTTATTTTAGACACATAATAAATAAATATAATTATATATATTGAACGTATCCCCAGTATGTCGTGTCCCCCGTTTTTTGAAAATTTTCGTATTTGCATGTCCGTGTCATGTCCCGTGTCCATGCATAGAACATAGCTAACCCCAGTTTCTTTATTCGCCTTGTTTTTTTCTCCTATTGCTTGACCATTCTACTTTTATTTTATAGATGTTGATTGGATTGAGTTGATAATTTGTTAATATAATGAACATGTGTCCGATTTCTAATGATGCATTCCAAATGCTAAACATAAAAGAGCTACTCCAGCTGCTCTCCTAGCTTAAATATCAAAGAAATATTTATAAATAATGTTGGTAAATCTGACAGTGCCCACTATACACACACAGCTTAGACACCCCCAACAACTAACAAGCAATTTGCAATCTTACAATAAAACAAAATAAAGAAAACACCACCCACTCATATAAGTCCATAGGAATAGTACGAAGAAAAGCAAAATCACAGAACTTCTGAGCTCACCTTAGCAACTGGGGCCATCTCTGCTGCAATATGAATGACATGCAATCCTGCACTAAAGATCAACAAGAGGCACACGTTAAAGAATAGTATATATGAGTTACAATTCACTTCTTACAAACTAATACCGTGTTGATGATGATGTCAGTCTCAGAAATGTAGCAATAGCTTCATGCTCATTCTTCTCTTTGCACGCCATGTATGCATCGCAAATACTTCCATCTCTCTTCCACACCATTTCCCTCAACAGCTTTGCATCGTTAGTTGAGATTTTCTTCTCAAGAAACCATCCATCAATCATAAGCAATAAACGACTCCAGAAGTCCCAAGGCATATGATCCACAGGTTCATCCACTGCTCTTCTCTTGCTTTCTTCTTTCAAACTATTGAGTGTCTCTTGAAACTCTTTCACAGATTCTTGATATAGCTCGACACAAGAATGTATCTCCTCATCAGACCTTTGAAGGCGCTCTTCCAGAAGCTTTATCTTCTGTTGCATTAGTTCATTATATTGTTGCAATTTCTCTGATGATGATTTATAGACATTAGCTTCTTCAAGAGATCCTTCCAACCTATCAACCTTCTTCCGGAGCTCCTGGTTTTGCTGTAACACTGAAATAGCTTGATCTGCCTGTTCAGTTGCCTTATCTAGCAATGCCTGCAAGTGCTCTACCTTTTCCCACAAGTTCTTGCATTCAAACTTCAAAGTAGAAAGTTTTGAAACATCTTCCTGAGAGACAGCAAGTTTAAGCTCCAACTCTTTCAGAGCAGATTCCAAGGATGAACGTTCTTCCTCCAGAATTAGAACACGATCGTCAGTTCCCTTAACATCACCAAACTCTGCTTTCAGTGCTTCTAGATCATCCTTCAGGGACATATTTTCTTTCCTCAATGAACTAAGCTCCTCATGGAGGGAATGAACACTATTATTATGCAACAGGGGGACTACTTCATGCACGTCTTGCTTGCCTGCACCAGTGCCACCCCTTGTAGATAGTTCACTTCGTAGCTTCTCCAACTGGTCTTCCATAAGTTCCACATGTATCTTTTGTTGGGCAGCAACTTTGACCCGGGCATCAGTTTCTGCCAGTTTCATCTCTAAAATGTTGATTTCTCCTTGTAAAGTCTGCTTCTCATTGAGAATCATTTCAAGATCTTCAAGTGCACTAACACGAGCTTGGTTGAGAAGAAGTATATCTACGATGCCACGAAAGAAAGTAAAATACAGTTAATACACCTCCACAAATTGAACCAAAAAAGGAAACTGAAAACAGTGCAAAAGTTCATAATTAAAAAAAATTAAATAAATCCTACTTTTCTCCGCATTCCTTATCATGCCAATCAAATCCTGATGATGAATGCTTGAGAGTTGCTCTCCATCATCTGCATCCATTGACTGCTAAACATAACAAGCTTGATTATGCTGTGAATGATTTTATTTTTTCTTTGCTCATTAGGTAAATGAGAGAGAGAGAGAGAGAGAGAGAATTTACAATGACGAATATCAACTAGTATCCAGAAGGGAAAATAAAGAACACTTTTATGTGCAGTAGATTAAGAAGTAAATGATTTTATCTACAATGATCCACACTATTTCTCAGATTCTCCTGAAAAGGTGAAATTGGAGTCAAAGATATAATAGAACTCTTAACAATTCAGCACCCAAACAGAACAAATAAATTTCCTGTAATATTCTCTGATCATGAGATACACTAAATAACTGTTAAGAATAATAATAATAATAATAATAATAATAATAATAATAATAATAATAGCAATGCTATTATTTAATGTGCATAGTCTTTAGGAGGAAACGTGGCATCAATACATAAAAATGCTTGCAACTGGAAAATGATTTGTTTCCTAACACATACCATTGCATCATCTGATGTGACGGGCATCAGTATTAAGTACTTTATACATATCATTCCCCTATTACTATTTCCAGAATTGGCAACTTTAACTATTAAGTACCCAATTCAAACTCCCAAACTCTTATCAATGTAACTAACATAGATATGTGAAGCTTCACCTTGCCAGTGTTTTAAAAAGCTATAGGCGCATTGAGGTGCTAAGGTCGCCTAGGGCTTAAGTGTGAAGAGCAAGGGGAGGCGCGCAAGTTGTTGAAAATAACCAAAATATTAATACAGGAGAAGTTTTTAACATAAAACAAATATTCTTAAAATTTCAAAAATTAAAAAATTAAAAAATTAAAAATAGAACATTCAATATTTCAAAAATCATGAAAAATAACATTCAACGTTTCAAAAATAACATTCTATCTTTCTTTTCCCGACACTATTTATCTTTCTTTATCAATTTATTAACGTGATTCATTTCTTTTTTAAGACAAGGAACTCACACCATATAATACCTTAGTGGTTTTAATTTTAAATCTGGACCAAATTGCCTAATAGCTTTAATCATTGGCCCGAAACTGTTGTAATTTACTACATTGAAAGGAATCCCAAAGCCATATATCCATCTTGCAATCCCAGAGCTTTTACTTAATGCCTAGAGCTTTTTTTTTATATGAAAATTGGGGCTCAAAGCATGTGTTTACATTTTATATTAAAGGGGTTGTAATTTCATACGGTTACACATACAAAGAATAAGGATGGAGAAAAAATTTAAATGAAGGGCATGAGACGTGGGGTTGTAATTTCATATGGTTACACATACAAAGAATAAAGATGGAGAAAAAATTTAAATGAAGCGCATGAGGCGTGCGCCTCACGCCTAAGCCTAAGGCACGTGCCTCAAGCGCCTCAAATGCGTCTTTCCTACTACGCCTCACCTCAAGCTATCTGAGGCACCTTAGGTGCGCCTCGCGCCTAAGTGCGCGCTTAGGTGCACCTTTTAAAACACTACACCTTGCAATTGAAGAAGACAATATGCAAGTGGTTTAAGAACAAGAACAGATTATATGCATATAATAATTCACTATACATTAACCAATTAGCATATAACCCAAGATTGGCATTGGTAGCACACCTTTCAGCAATTTGAAATATTTACTACTCACAAGAACTAACAATCTGAGATTGGGAAACAATAACAAAAGAAGATTTGAACTATAAGACAAAAAGAAAAACCATCAAGAAAATGAGCGAAAGAAAAAATAAATCAGCTACTCCCCATATCACAATTACTTTTGATTATTGCACATTATGAAGCCAATATAGAACGAATATTTTAGCAAAATGATCACAATGTTAGAATAGGAAATAATATTCATTATATTTTTATTTGATTTTATTTTCCCTTGATTGATGTAATGGGTTGGCCCATAATTTATGCCTTATGGCACTCCTATAATTACTCATTATTATCAATATAAAAGGGGATGAGGTCTCACTCATTCCCTATCTCTTTCTCTTCTCTAAACTTTCATGGTATCAGAGCCATGCCCTAGCCAACTCTTCTTCTTTGTTACCCATCACCACAGGTGATCTCCTCTCTCCAGTATGCCATACGACAGCCTCCACCCATCCACCCGACAGCCTTCACCTAACCCCATAGCCTCATCTCTCCTTCCTCTACCCCCGACAGCTTCCACCCAAGTCTTCCAGTCCCTTCTCTCCCTTCGACAGCTTCATCCAGGTCTCTCAGCCCTTGCTTTCCTCGGGACAGCCCTCACCCTAGCTTCCTTATCTCTCGACAGGCCTCTCCAGCCACTGTCGAGGGTTCCCAGAGCACCGACTAGCCTTCTTGCTGGTCTGGTCGAGTTCATCAGTCCCTCCAGGGTAGCCTGGGGTGATCGCTTCTCTTTAGAAGTATTTTGGTGATGTAAAAACAGCACCGAGGGAGGGAGAAAAAAAATGAAGAAAAAAAAAAAGAAAAAACTAGATTCTTAATTCTTTATGCTTTTATAATTACTGTTATGCTTGTTTCTCCACTTTCATCTTCCGGGTTTGTGATTGGCATCATGTTTGAGGACTAGTTAGTAGATTCTCTATAGCGGATTTGACTAGTGAATCTACTACCACTCAGCCATCTCAAGGCAAGAGTTCTATTATCCCTTCCACTATGACTGATAACCTCAACCCTGGCCTTAAATCACCACCTCTCTATTCAATGGTCAGAATTACCTAGCGTGGTCACAAAGTCTAACTATTTTCTTAAAGAGTAGAGGGAATATGGGATATGTTGATGGGAGGGTCCAGGCACCCAGTATCACAGGCCCTCGTTATGACCAGTGGGAGATCACCAATTCCCTGATTATGGATTGGTTGATACATTCCATGGTTCCGGAGATTGGAGAGGGCTACTTGTCTATGGACACTACCCAAGATATTTGGGAGGGCATAGCTACTACTTATCCTAGGAAAGGGAACTTTTCACAGGCTTTCGAGTTACGTCGTTCCTTTGAGAGGTCAGTATAAGGTGAGATGACTATCCTCTAGTATTTTACCTTCCTTAGCAATGGGTGGAAGCGACTTGATCACCTTTAGGATTACAAGCTTGTATGTCCCATTGAATCTACTGGTTACCGAAAGTTTGGGGAGAAACAACGGGTCTTCAAGTTCTTGGAAGGCCTAAATGTGGAGTATGATCATGTTCAGAGCAAAGTACTTGGCATGGACATGCTTTCATCTTTCCAGGAAGCTTCTGCTTTTGTGCAGAATGAGGAAAGTCGCCGCTCTGCTATGCTTCCTCATGCCACTATTGATTGTTCTGCCTTGGTTTCTGCACCCCTCAAGATGGTGAGCATGTGCCTCGTGGTTCTCATCCTTCCTCTGAGAAGGATCAGCTTTTCTGTGACTACTGTCGTTGACCTCGCCACACAAGAGAGACTTGTTGGAAGCTACATGGGACTCCTTCTGGTGGCCGAGGAGACTGTCCTGGTACTCGAGGGGGTCGGTCTGGTCAGTCTAGAGGCCGATGGGCCAATGCTCGGGCACATCTTTCAGACACAGTTGATCCACCACCTTCATCTCCAGTTGTCTCACCTTCATATCCTCTAAGACAACAGACAATACAAGTGAGGGGAAAGAAAAAGAGGGGGGGGTGGAGCTTATGTATAGGTTTTAATAGGTGAACTTATTGACCAATAGGTCCTATGAGAATTAATGGTATTTTTCATCAAACGCTATTAAAAAAACGTCACTAATTGTTAATTTTCAGCAATAGTTTGAAAATTGTCACAAAACATGTCACTAATTTTAAATTTTAGAGACAATTTAAAAAAAAATCATCAAAAAAAAAGTCCCTAATTTTTAACTTTTAGTAACAGTTTGAAAAATTCATCACAGAAAAATGTCACTAATGATAAGTTTTAGTAGCAATTTATAAAAACTGTGGCAAAGAAAAGTCACTGATTATCAAATTTTAGTGACATGCAAAAAATTGTTACCAAAAAAAAAATTTGCGACGATTTTACAAGGACTTTATGGGAATTTACTCCAACTATTAGGACTTATAGGTAGTTTACCCCCCCAAAAAAAATGCATCTAATATATGCCTTAAGCAATCAACTGAACTAAACACAAATTTCACATTAAAAACCATACAATTATCCTCACAAAAGCAAAGACTAGGCCATAATTACCAAAGGAGTGCTGTTTTTTTAGTTTGTGCAGAGAGAACAACATAATACAGAGAAAAATTTGAAGGCGAAATTTCTTAAATGCTAAGCAGCATTGGAACTTATAAACAGCTGTGGTTCATGCCACAATGCTCTGCCCTAAATTGCATTGTACCGCATTACACTATAGACTTCATTCTTTCTCTGACTAGTGTACTTCATCAATTTCTAGTGTTAATCTCTGACAAACCAAAAGAAAGCAAAGGTTGATGATATTGGATAGATCTTGTCCAGATCTCTATACTGAATCCACTTGTCTAAACTGGATAAAATTACAAGTCACAATACAAACACTACATAACCATGCAACATAGAAATTATCTAGTTAATCATTGCAATAAAAAACCTAAGCTTTAAAACTTAACACATGTGATTAAACATTGAAAACCTTGCAACGACTGGAATTGAAAAGAAGATGACTTTGATCTCAGAAGAGCAATCAATTTTGAAACACCTACTCCAGTGCTCAGTTCAAATAAATTTCCATTTGAGGCCATAAATAAATGAAATAGAAAATGCTAAAGATAAAAAAGCAACTGCAAATGATTATTATTCTTCACCTCTGTAGGCTACTTAATCAATAAACTAAATCAAATTATCAAGGAAGAAGCAAATAAAAGCTCCCTGCTTACAAACAGATTATAAGGATAAAATTAAAAGAAAAATATGCGTCACTCTAAATTTTATTTTAATATCTCAATCTGTCCCCAAGTAATTTGGCAGTGGAATAGTTGAAATGAATTGAGTTAAATTAATCATTTAATATTCAATATATTGAAGAAACAGATCAACAACCACTTGCTTTGTCGCACTATTGCGAAGACTTAAAATGCTTTACTTCTTTTGGTGATCTGATAGCCTATTGATGATGCACAGTATACATAGAAAAGTTAATATAAAAATAAAATTGAGCAACAAGCAGTCATGCACAATTAAAACCATTAAATTAATAATGTTACTAGATTATACCAAGGGTTGAATCTCATTCAGCAGAGTCAGACTGTTCAAATCTTTCTCATTTGTATCCTCAGTGGCTATAATAAGATCAACATCATCATCAGATATATGTTCACGATTGAAACTCGAGATTTTATCTGTCAAAGGGGTTTCTGATTCAGAGTCCTCGTCAACATTTGTCCTCAAGTTTGCATTTGTCGGAAGCTGTCCAGGAGAGACTTTTCTTGCTGGTCTCTTTTGTTGTGAACTGCACAAATGTCAAAGAAGAAAATAATTGCATAACAGACCACAATATAAGGTTTAAAATTCTGCTACTCACATATAGATGAAAATATCCATAAAAGATAAAGGGGAGGCAACTTTTTATAAAATCGTGTTTAAAAGTCGAATTAGAGTCTACTTTGCTTTCATGAATAAGTCAAACAAAAAAATGGGTTTGATTGCAAGTACAAATCAAATAACTACACCTATTCTACATTCCGTGCAGAAGAAAATTAAAAAATATGACCAAGGATTTCAGTAGTTCTACATTGAAATCATCAGTTTGTTAAATGATGAAAGGTCCTGTGAAAATGAGCATCAAATTAAATGTTCATTCATCAGACACCATGCACTATCAATGCATCACTATTCATAACCACAAATACTTGTTTCCAAATTCAAATCTCCACTGAGACAACAGAGTTTCAACGCATCACGGTTGTCAACTGCTTAAATTTGGAGGTGTAGTGATGCAGAGCATCTAAGGAGGAAAAAGAGAAATCTGGGGGCTTCAAGTGGGGCCTACTTGAAACATCAATAACCAAGTTTAGGTTGAGTAGAGGTTTATTTTGAGTTAGTTTTACATAAGTATGCTACTAGTGAGATTTATGTATATGGTAATGAACTCTAAAAATGAAGGCAATATAAATTGTGCAAGATACAGGGTTTCACATTCACTATTAGTTGTTCCCTGAACTATCATCAAGGCTTCAATATAACATTTTTGCTATGAGATTTTTGGCTAGAAGTCCCTCTCAAATAAATTGCATATTGTGATAAGTCCAAGTCTAAGAAGCATGGACACAGACACACGACACCACACAAATACGATACGGACACGCTGACACGCTAATTTTAAAAATAAAATAAAATAAAATTGCAAGACACAACACATGGGAGACACGCATGAAATATATAATTTTATATATTTATTATATGTTATATATATGAATATATCATTCAAAAATAATTAAAAAAATGCAATATGATTCTAATTTCTATAAATTTATATAGTTTGTGCTTTATTATTGTACCATAAGTTGTTTTATTCAAACTTATAATTAGTTTCACATATATCTAAGTGCTAAACACATGTGTCCTTGAAGTGCCCAAAGAATATCCAGGTCTTTAAAAAAAATAAAAAAATAAGACACGTTTTGAAGAGTATCAGACACGTGTCAAGAAAGTGTCCAAAGAGTGTCGGTGTCCGACACGGACACAACACACGGATACATTACCTTCTTAGAGGTGTCTGTGCTTCTTAGAGTCCAAGGCAAAAGATTTTAATGCCTTAGGTCGTTCACTTTATATTTTATATTGTGAAAAGACATGTCTAGTAGTTGTAGTCTTCACCATCTCCACCACCTACCATCGCTAGTCATCATCTCCACCGGCGGTTGTCTCTAGTCATGATCTCCACCATCCACTACCATTTCAGATATACTACTAGCGACCACCATCATCACCATCAATCTTCACTATCATAGATCTAATACCAATGAAATTAGATCTGAGACCGACGACCTCAAATCTGAGTTAAAAACCCACAGATCTATGACCTACCAGAGTTTTCCATTCTCTTTCTATAATGGATAGTAAAATTTTTCTGTCCACATAGAGTAAAATTTTACTCTGGTAATATTATTTATTCAATGTTTTGGTGATTGTTTCATTAATATTTCTACTAATAATAGTAAAATCATAGTAAATGTGGTGGTTAGTAATGGCGATAGTGAAAATTTACTGTTTTAATGCTAAATTTATACATCAGAATAAAATTTTACTTTGTATATAACAGTAAAATTTTACTGTCTACAACACAATGAATTTTGAATAGATTTTCTTATTATATACTAAGTGGTGGTGGTGTGGAAATGGTGGTGGTGATCCTTGGAAAATGGTCGCTAGAGATTCACATCAAAAAGTGTTCGTTGGAAAGTTGATAGTAACTTAGTGTTACATGGACTCGTTGGTTTAGGGTAGAGTACCCACATCGATACCACGTGACACGGGTGCAGGTGTGAGAACTGTGTCAGATTCGACATGGTTTTCTTCGACAGGGCTGACATGAGGGAAGAGTGAAAAAGGATCGTTGAGAATGAGAAACTTACAGTTGATGAAGAAGCGAATCTGGCGAAGGAAATGATCGCGACCACCATCGCGATCTGTCTTCTTCTCTCTCTCTCTTGATCTCTTGATTTGTCTTATTCTCTCTGTCGATCGATCTCTTCTTCTTCTTCTTCTTCTTCTTCTTCTTCTCTCTCTCTCTCTCTCTCTCTCTCTCTCTCGATCTTCCTCTCGTTTTCTCTAACTCTCGATGTTCGCCTCTCTCTCATTTTCTCTCTTCTATCTCTTCTTAACTCGTTTTCTTCTCTGATGTTTTATTTCATTTATAACACACACACAAACACACATATGTGTGTGTGTTAATTAAAAATAATGTCTATACATAAATTAAAGCTTGAGTCTATGTATATATTAAAAATACATTATCTTTTTTCTCATTTAATTGACACACACACATACACACACACACACATATATATATGTCAATTAAAAATATCAAATCTACAAATAAAAAATTAAAAAAAAAAAAGTTTATATACATGAATTAAAAATATTTTTATTTCTTATTTGTATGATATGTGAGACCTACAAAATATGATAATGTCAATAAAAAATAATGTATTAAGTATTTCTAGTATTAGTTATTCAAATAATAAATATACATTCTATTTTTTTAATTTTAAATTTTGATTTTTTTATATTTGGGTAAGTTACACTGACACCCCCTGAGGTTTGGTCTGATTACATCCCACCCATTAACGTTCTGAAAATTACATTCACACCCTTGTGGTTAATAGTCTTATTTCACAAACTCCGCCTATAGTGAAATGGATCTTAGACCAGTTAAGAGAATCTTGATGACATAAACAAAAAGGAAAAGTGACTGAATTGCCCTCTGGGACCTTAAAAAGTCTTTTGTAGCCTTATATCCTATTTAAAACTACCAATATACCATAAAGAAAATGGTCCAATCACAACAACTATCATTTTCTCTAAAACCATAGCAACAAAATATCTACATTATTTTTTTAATTTATGCATGTAAAGGTTTATGGAAAAAAATGTCTTTTGATAACAACGTTAATTCCGTCTAAATAATTACACTGGCAGGGGGGTCAATGTAATTTCCCAAACGTCAAGGGGTGATATGTATTAAACACAAACCTTAGGGGGCGTAGGTGTAATTTACCCTTTATATTTATATACAAAATAAATACAAAACTTATTATATTTATATAGAATTTATTTCTATTCGTGTCTTTTACAATAGAATTCAATGGTAATAAAGGAAAATTATTATATTGAAATGTAAACTAAATACAAAAATATTTTTTACTTGGGGTTGATTTGGGAACATAAAAAAATAGTAAAATTAGCAAAAAAATTCGCTTATTGTTTTCATGTGCCGTGTCCCCGTATCCGTATCTATTTTTTGGACACTTTTTAGCCGAATCCCCGTATCATCCTCACTCATTAGGAATAAGCAAATTTGACACTTAGGCACATAATACCCATATCTGACACCCGCACCTGAGTCTATGTAACATAGATTGTAACTGATGGCCAGAAAACAATCTCTGGAGGCTACCGCAGACTGCCGAAGATCGTGGTGGCTAGTGGAGATGGCAGAGGAGGAAGCTAATAAAATTTCACTTGGGGTATTTTTGTTGCATTTAATTATATTTTGATATTTTTCCTTAATGAATGAAAAAATTTTAGTATGTCATTTTTGCAAGAAAAGTTAAGATTGAGGCATCTCTCAACAAAACCCCCTTTTGTTATTCTAGACACTACACACCTCCAACCCAAATTAAACATATGTCAACTACTTATACCATGTTCCCTAGATTTAACAAAGACAACTAGAAAATGTATCGCACATAGGATAGCATTTCGACAGTTTAATTGGGAAGCAAATTAATCATAACTTCTCCATGCTGAATTTTTTTTTTTTTTAAAAAAAAATATAAATTATAGTAAATCCTATAAGGTATCTAACAATTTTTAGGACGTTCTATGAGGTTTCTAAAATTACGCTAACACCGCTTTGTTAGGAAAAAAAAAAAAAAAAACAATAATATTCCCTTCATTATCTGCCCATGAATAATGCAAATGGAAATCCCTCACATTTCATATTTTAATATTTAACAATTATTCCGTTTTCAAAAATAAAATAAAATAAATAAATAAATAATAAGAAAATAAAAGAGGATGTAAAACGATTTCTATCCATTGCGTAAAAATTAGAAGAAAAAACTACTAAGATATATATATATATATATATACGCAGCTTCTTATAGCTTCCAATAATTGTTTGCCACTTATCGACTTTACTTGAAGAATTGGACATCACCACATCAAACACCTCCACAATCAGTGTTATTAAAGGCGATAGGCGCACCAAGGCGCCAAGGTCTCCTGCGGCCTAGGATCAAGGCGCAAGGCGAGGCGCAAGTTTCACCGAAATGAGGCGCACCTTATACGGAAAAAAAATATATAATTTAATATAAGTAAATAATTTAGGGTTCAACATAAACAAAATAAAATGGTAAACATTTAGGGGTTGTTTGGGATGTCCTAAATAAGTGCACTTTTTGTCTTTTTGGACTAAAAAGTTAAGGAAAAAAATATGGATGTTTGGGTTAACTTTTTGACTTTTCATGAAAAAAATGTGTAATAAAAAATTGTAAAAATTAGTTTGTAGAGGAAAATTAGAATTGACAGTTGTGCAGCCGTAATTGTTGACTTTTGGTGAATAGTGTTAACTTTTTAACTTTTTGAGTAACTTTTTTGTTTTTGGCTTTTTTTACATACCCCAAACTTGGCCTTAGTGTTTTTTGGAGATTAGGAACAGGGCTAATTTTTCTTCTATCACTGATTTGGAGTTGAATGCCAATGTATTGGCATCTATAATAAGAG